AATGCAAAAATGTCCTCAGATGAGGATAAAAAAAAATAAAAGAATAAAGTTACACAGTGAAAAAGGGCATGGTCACATGATGGGAGGCCAAGCTTACAATTCTTGTCAGAACATTTGTGTTTCCTTCAATTAAAAAAAAGAGCTAGATTTATTACAACAATACCACTAAGGCAGTAGTGTGACCACAGTCAGTTTTAAAGCCTGAGAGACCGAGACGGCAACACAGGACTGCCAGGTGCCGTCCTCCAGTGCAGCTGTCTCGCTGGGGCTCATCTGACAGGCCTTCCTGACACAGCCTCCACGTGGGTTTACATTAGACGTCACACCTTCGAAGACACTGCTAGTCTTGTTTACGATATTATTTCCTGAAAGTGAGCATTGCCTATTCATAATCTCAGAATTTACTCTGATGTTTTAAGTCCTTGTCATTTTTGCATTCTAAAAGGAAGTTAGCAACTAGCATCTAGTCAGAAAAAGTGTGTTAATCTTCCATGTGCATTTAACACTTTTAGAGACTTCCTTTATTGCCCAGAAAGGCTCTGATGAGATGTGGTTACATAAAAGCATGTTGATTAAACCAGTGGAAAATAAATTTAAGTCATAACTAAATTTCTCTATTTTGTTTTTTATCCAAATGACAAAATTGAACTGGCTGGTCCGTAAAAAACCTAAGTTTGAGTATTTAATAATTAGATTTATTTGTGTCAAAAGAATAGAATTAGTAAATATTTATGACATGTTTATGATGATTCATTTTTGGTCCATCTGTATATTTGTAATATTGTGACACTAAATGTATGGTAATTTGAGTTCACTGAAGCTTGGAATAATTTCCTTTCTCTAAGACAGAGCTTAGGGCTAGTAGATAATTCAGGAGGAATTCATTTGAATCTGGAATTCATAGTTTGGTAAATTCTAATTAATTTCAGAAGTGTGAGGCATTTGTTTTTTTATTTTTTATTTTCCTAAATCTTCTTTTAATGAACCAAAAACCAAACATCTTATCTTGGGCTAATTATGGACAGACATCTTCTGGAGAACCAGGCCATTCTGGGAATACTGCTTTTACAACTTCTAAACGGAAGTGTCTTATCCCCAAGCATCTAGACCATTACCCTCTCTTTCCTCCTCTTCATTCCCCAGCTAATCAAAACTTAATTACCTAAGGGTTTTATTTTTGTGATGAAATTTGTAACCTCTTACATTTGGCAACTTCAGTAAGTGGGAGGGAATAGTTTTGTGCAGTTTTCTGCAATATTGATTATACAGTCGTGAAGAGGCTTTATTTATCTCACTGTATGTAGATCTGTGTGGGCATTTCCCCCTCATTCTTTTGGCAGCACAGGAAGTAACTGATAGCAATGCAGAGTACTATTTTTTTTTTTTAATCATCATCCGAGAACATTTTTCCATATTTCGTTCAGATAGAGTGGGAGGGAGGGAGGGAGGGGTGGGGAGAGAGAGAGAGAGAAACATCAACGTGAAAGGGACACATAGAGTGGTTGCCACCTACACAACCCAACCAGGGTCGGGGACAAACTGCAACCGAGGTACGTGCCCTTAGCAGAAACAGAACCCGGTCTCTCTGGACCGCAGGCCGACACTCTAATCACTGAGCCAAACCAGCCAGGGCAGAGTACTATTAAAATAATTTGACCTTCACCATATACCCTTCAAAATGTGAATGGACAATTGGACTTTGTGTTTCTAATTGTCTGCAGACATCTGTCCTATAAGTCAGAAGGAAAAACTTGCTTTTGTCATGTGAAGTCCTTTAAAAAAGAAGAAGTAAATTGGTTACCATTTTTCTTACTGATAAATAAGTATTTAAATATAAGTGAGGGGAGTTGATCTTTTTTTATAAAGCCATTATGTTAGAAACATATATTGGGAAAATTACTTTATATTTAGAGAAACAGGATGCCCTGAATTCTGGCTAACCAGAGGGTAATGAACAAAGTGCAAGATGACTATAGTACACAGGAAGAAACAGGATAAAATTCTCACAAGATTTCATGCTGTGAATATGCTACCTAAATATATCTTTTTGCCCCCCCCTTTTTTAAAAAAAGAAGGATGTTTTTTAAAATATCTTTGAAACTTTTATAAATGGTCAGTTTCACATTGAAAATCTGTGATTCCCCTGAACTACAAAAGGGCCTTTCTCATGCTGTCATGCACAGGCCTGTAAAGACTTATTTTAGTTGTCAGCTGCATAAATTCTTTCTAGAGATGGAAAGTAATTCCCATGAATTCTTCGCCTACCACACCCCTTCCCCCAAACATCACCAGCATGACTTTGTGAGTCCAACAGAACAATTTAATTTCATATATCTCTAGGGCTTACCTGTGTACCATTTGTGTGAGGGCTTTTTAAAAAGTAGAATGGAATGGTACCTTTTGCTTATTTGTAACTTGGTTAAGGCAAAGACAGATAAAGCTTTTGTTGAAAGATGTGCTGGTTGACTTCTGTGACCGATCACATGCCATTGGATTGGGGAAAAAGGTGTTTCTCTTTCACCTCTCATATATGGAAGTATATTCAGAAAGGCAGAGTAATTTACTGACTCACTGAGGGGCCAGGAGTGACTGGACAAACCTCGGGACCTCCTAATTCTGAAATTACTGCCTTACATGTTTATGTCTCTGCACAGGTGCTTGTGGTGGTGTTTTTTTGTGTTTTTTTTTTTAACACTAAAGGTGTTTTTTATAAAATTTTGTGTGACTTTTCTAGGCCAGGAGCAAAGCAGCAACAGCTAGTTTGGGTGTGATGCCCTTGAACACCTAGTGTTCTTCACCCATCACACACACACCCCCCCCCCACGGCCAGGTCCACAGCTGAGTGCCGAGGCTGACTGCATGTGCGCTATGGCCTCATCCCCTTTGGCAGAGTGATGGTATTCCTCTGCATCAGGTGATAGTCTTTAGCAGCCTCATGGCCTTGACAGATTAGCAGGTCACCTGCGGATGTTTAGACGAGATGAGGTTAGAGGGCAGCACTCCACTGTGCTTCATGTAGCCCTGCTTTTACGCGGAGCCCAGGGTTGCAGGGGGGTGGTCAGTGGTGCGTTCATCTTATCTGAACAGATGTGAAACAGATTTCTGAAACGAGGCTTTGCTGCCTTCTAAAACAGGGAGTTAAAGGTTGGTGTTTTTTGTTTTGTTTTGTTTTTTTGCTGGTTCAGCAGTGATGTGGAATATTTAAGGACTTGATCTCATTGAGGTCATTCATAGCCCAAATATAGCTGTGGTTCTTCGATACTAAGTAGGTGCCACACATTTGGCATGTATGTTGAAGCATCCGGGGGTCCCTTATGCAGCATTATTGGAGAATCAACAGCAGTGGACTTAGAAATTTTATCCAACATTGATTCCTTACCTTATACCTGGAGTGAACAGACATGGTCTCTTTCATCTAAGAGCTCACAGACTTTTAGGAGAAGAGAGACATCTGAGCAGATGAAGGCAGTGCAGACTGAGGCCCACACAGGCACAGTGGTCCGTTCTCCCCAAGACTTAGACTGGAGCAGCTGAAGCGGTGGAAGGCTCAAGAAAGGTTTCAGGGTAGAGGTGAGGCTTGAATTAAGTCTTGAAAGATAAGTAGATGAGACAAGAAGACAAACTTGGGAATGACATACCAGACAGGGAGAGAACCTGAACAAGTTTTGGAACTGTGCAACTGCTTGGCGCACACTGGGAACCACAAGCAGCAATCACCGAGTTTAAGTACCGGATACAAGGGAGGGCACTCAGGACGGCGCTGGGCCTCGCTGCAGAGTTTCGGACTTTGTCCTATAGTTCCTGAGGAGCTGTTGCAAATGTTTAAGCTGGTAAATGACAAAGTGAAATTTACGCTGTGAATTTTCACTCTGGGAAGGATGGATCTAGGGAGGAGAATGAAGCATGGAAATCAATCTAAAGACCATTAATTATAGTGTCTAGCTGAGAGAAAATGTTGGTCTAGGGCACTGGTTTTCAACCTGTGGCACACATAAACTAATTACTAAAATTCTGCAACACACTCAAGAATATATTTTTTGCAGATCTGAAGAATAAAGTAGGTATACTTTTGATTCAGTCGCACTGGACAACTATTGTTGTGTTGACTGTTGTTTTTTTATTTGCCCATCTAAGGGAAAGAGTCTAGTGCCCCTGACTAAATAGTCAGATATTGAATGTTTTAAAATTTTCGCTCCAGCTGAAAGTTGCTCGTCTGGACTAAAGGAAGCTGGGTGAGGGGGTGGAGGGCAGGGCAGAGCTACCAGAGACAAGAGGAAGAATGGGATTAGGGGAGATAATGTGGGTCTGTAAGATTCAAAATGTCATGGGTCCATTTTGCATGTGTTAAGAGGTGGTTCCAGTCAACAATTAATAGAAAATTAATCTTTTAAAGCAAAGAAGACGCAATCTACACACCCTACAGACTTGCTTGTAAAATGTAGGGAAAGGTGTTCAGGCCCAAGTTTCCAGCCCTCCAGTGAGAACTCTACAGTATTTTAAATAAATAGTGCGTCCAAACAGTGCATCGATATGTATAGATTTTCACCGTAAAATGGGAGCGTTTGGCAAAGTGTCGGATGCTTTCTCTTCTACTTGGAGGTCCTGTGGGAGAGGTGCTGAACTGTGGGGCTGGCCGTTCATTCCAAGTGTTAGCTCTGGCTCTCACAAGACTTAGACCAATGCCTTAACCTTTCTGAGCTTCATTTTTCTGATCTGTAAACATTAGCTGGTAATGTTGCCTCATGAGTTTCAGATGGGAGCTAAATAAGATTAAACATGTGGAAGCAGCAGAGGCTACCAACGTCCTTCTTTATTCCTTTCCCTGGAGGATGTTTAAACTGCTGAACTTTCCTTTTCTCCTCTGTGCTAAGCCTTGCTTGGCTAGGAACCTGGAGACCAATATGAAAGTCTACCTGTGTGGTTGTCCTCACATTGAAATTCCTTAAGTGCTTGATTTCCTGGAAAAGGGCATTTATTATTTCTCTTTGCTTTCGATACAGGATGTCAGCTGCAACGAGATCACAGCCTTGCCCCAGCAGATCGGTCAGTTGAAATCTTTACGAGAACTAAATGTCAGAAGAAATTACCTTAAAGTTTTACCTCAAGGTAAAAATGGATGAGGGGGTGGGAAATGAATAAAACAGGAGACTTTGATTCTTTTTTGTTTGCTTTTGTGTTTGTGTATGCCTATTGATATTCATTATAATTTGAATCTCACATACAGATAACAGAAAAGTTATATTCAAGTTGTAATTTTAGTTAAGGGGCACAGGGATAAAAGATTCCCCTGTATAAGGAAGGCTGTGTGTGTGTGTGTGTGTGTGTGTGTGTGTGTGTGTGTGTGTGTGTTTGCTCAGGCTCCCATTTTCTCACAGTTCTGAAGGCTGGATGTCTGAGATTAAGGTGTTAAACCAATTTAATTTCTCTGAGGCCTCTCTCCTTGTCATAGATGGTCATCTTCTCCCTGTGTCTTCACATCATTTTCCCTCTGTCTCTCTGTCTTAATCTCTTCTTTGAAGGATAGCAATCAGACTGGATTAGGGTCTAGCCTAATGACCTCATTTTAACTTAATTACCCCTTTGAAGACCCTGTCTCCAAATATAGTCACATTCTGAGGCACTGGGGATTAGGATTCCAACATATGAATTTGGGGCACACAATTCAGCCCATAACAGGAAGCAGCGTGAAGTGTTTTTGGTGTGGACTTGTGATGTTCTGGGACATCGGGCTAATAGTTGAGTTGACATACTTGGTCCTGCAGATCTGACTGTCAGGGTTTCTGATTTGGGGGATCTATAAGTCGTGGTGGGAAACCCTTAAATCTGTTCTTAAGGGAAGGGCACTGCCCCTGCTGGAGTGGCATTTGGACTGATGTCACTGGGAGTTTGGGTGAATTTCTCCAAGGCTGGAAGCAATGATGGCCCCAGAGCCTTGGCCTTGAGCCCACAGACAGCCCTGCCCCTGAGTGAGGCTCCGTTCCCTGTAGCAGTGGACTTCCACAGGGTGTCCAGACACACTGTTGGAGTTCAAACCAAAAGATACATTTATTCAGAAATTTTGTATAATTAAGAACTTTGACAGTTGGCTTTGTAGGTGGTAGAGGATCTGAATTTCATATTTTGGGCCTGTTATTTGGATCTGAATCAGGAATGAGCTGAGCAGTAGAACACTGAATGTTTCCTCCAAAGCACCCTCTGGTTTTCAAAGATCACATTGATTCCATCGTTTTCATTTACGGACTCTAGACTTACCAGATTTCAAACATCTATTGAAAAATATACCTCAAAGCACAAACATACAGGGCGGGGCAAAAGTAGATTTATAGTTGTGTGTGTCTGAAACACAGGTTTACTCTTGTATTATTATTAATTGATTATTGTATTATTTTCAATACTGTAAACCAAGTTTGGAAACACTCAGCATCGGGTAAATCTGATGCTAATGCTGCTGTTTGAGAGCTGCTTGATTTTTATTATTCTGTTCCTGCTTCTTGATCTTTGGCTTGAAATGCTTCATTATTCGAGGCCAGAAAATGGTGCTCGTGGAAGGGAAAGAACTTTATAAAATGTAATGTGCTTGCTTCAGTGGTTAGAACATCAGCCCCTGCAACCAGGGGATGTGGGTTCCATTCCCCGTCAGGAACACCTACCTGGATTGTAGGTTCAGTCCCTGGCCTGGTCAGGGCTTGTACAGGAGGCAACCAATGGATGTGTCTGTCTCACATCAATATTTCTCTCTTGCTTCCCCTCCCTTCCTTACACTCTATCTAAAAATCAATGGAAAAAATCCTCTGATTAGGATTAACAACAACAAAAACAAAATGTAACACACTTTATAGCTGGAAGGTTTAAATATCTGCCATCTGCACCTTTCTCATGTGAACTAGCATTTTATAGGAGTAGAATTAGAAACTATTTCAGCATAAAGATTTATTACTTTCTTTTTATTAATTAATTAATTTTTCTTACAGATGTTTCTCCCCCCCAAGACACCCTCCCTCTTGTCCTACCCTCCCCCAGCATTGTTGTCTATGTCCATGGTTACGCATACATGTATATAAGTTCTGTGGTTTATCTCTTCCCTCCCCTCCATCTTCCTCCTCTGAGGTTGTCAGTCTGAACCATACTTCTTTCTGTGTCTCTGAGTCTGTTTTATGCATAAACTTATTTCGTTCATTATATTCCACAAATAAGTGAGATCATGTGGTATCTGTCGTTCTCTGCTTGGCTTATTTTGCTTAGCATAATACTCTCCAGGTCCCTTCATGTCACCTCAAAGGATAAGAGATCTTTCTTTCTTATAGCTGCATAGCATTGTGTATATGTACCATAGCTTTTTTTTTTTAATCTTCACCCGAAGACATTTTTACATTTATCTTCAGATAGAGCGGGAGGGAGAGAGGGAGGAAGAGAGAGAAAATCGATATGAGAGAGACACATCGACTGGCTGCCACCCACACAATCCCACCGGTGCTGGGGACAAACCGCAACTGAGGTAAGTGCTCTTGGCAGGAACTGAACCCAGGTATCTCTAGTCCTCGGGCAGATGCTCTAACCACTGAGCAAAACCAGCCAGGGCTGTACCACAGCTTTTTTATCCACTTATTGATTGATGGACACTTGGGCTGCTTCCAGATCTTAGCAATTGTAAATAGTGCTGCTGTGAACATAGGGGACATATATTCTTTCTGATTGGTGTTTCAGGCTTCTTAGGGTATATTCCTAGAAGTGGGATCACTGGGTCAAATGGCAGTTCAATTTTTAATTTAAGATTTGTTACTTTATTACTTGAGGTGACTTGGTATAAAAATACTGATTTTTTATTTTGTTATTGTACAATCCCTTTTTGAATGTTTGAAATTGTTTTTCTTCATTTGAACAATTATAAAGTGAAAATTAGTACTAACAGTTGTATAAGGATATAACCTTTCATAGCATGGAAGAAACTTTCATTTAAATGTAAGCTTTTGACCTAACCTGTGTGGCTCACTGGTGGAGCATCGACCCATGCACCAAGAAGTCTCAGATTTGATTTCCCGTCAGGGCACATGCCCAGGTTGTGGGCCCGATCCCCAGTGGGGAGCATGCAGGAGGCAGCCAATTGATGTTCTCTCTCATTGGTGTTTCTATCTCTCTCTCTCCCTCTCCCGTCGTCTCTCTCTCAAATCCATAAAGAAAAAAATTTTTTTAGTAAAAAAATAAATGTATGCACTTGTGTTAATCACTGAGAAATTATTGTGAATCATTGAATTCTTTTCAAAAAGAAAATGTAATTGTTTTACAGTTGCCTGTGATAGTTTAGAAAGGTGTGGGAAGTGCATCTACAAGTCAGGATTTTTGTTTCTCTCCCTCCTACTCTCTTGCCTTAAAAGCATTCCTTTCTCTAAAAAGATCAGTTACAGATTTCTATACTCTCCATAATTATGTTTATTCAGGTTCACTATTTTAAAATCCACTCAAAGCTAAAACATCAGTATACTGGAAAATCATTTAAAAAAGAAAAAAAAAAAAAAAAACAATTTCCTGAATATCAGGTTTCTTTTTGCTTCCCTCTGGAGAACTCGATTAACAAAAGAGCATTGATAATGCTTTCAGGCAGGGAATTTAAAGACTTCCCATATTTACTTACTTGTTTTTCCTCCTTGACTGTCCCTCCTCATATGCTTTCAATTTGAGGAGGGGGGAAAATGTTTGTTCTTTCTAAGAAGTACCAGCATGGACAGAGGATTCAAGTAACCATTCATTGTTCCTCTTTAAACCAGAGAGAGAAGTGAGAATCCCCCCACCCCTTTACTCCCTTTTCCTGCTGTGTTTCTTTTGACCTTTCCTGGGCCGGAGTTACCATTTTTTTCTCCCTGTTTTCTTGTTGTGAAACTGCCAAGTTTTATTTACCCTAAACTCAGATGGCCATTGCCATTCCTCCTTTATTTACCTATAAGTGGCCTCCCCACCCCCTCCTGCTACATCTTCCAGGAATTCAGCCCTCTGGTTTTGCTGTAAAAAGTCTTCCTTCTAAGTGGCAAAGAATTCCTGGAGATCTAGAGTCCACTTAAAATTTGTCACTGTTGCCCTGCCTGATGTGGTTTAGTTGAGTGTTGTCTGTGCACCAGGAGGTCACCGGTTTGATTCCCAGTCAGGGCACAAGCCAGGCTGCAGGCTCAACCCCCAGAAGGGGGGGTGCAGGAGGCAGCTGATAAATGCTTCATTCTCACATTGATGTTTCTCTCTCTCCCTTCTCTCTCTAAAAAAGAAATCAATAACCTATTATTTTAAAAACATTGCCACTGTTTTGTTAACCTAACTTTCATGAGTCAAGTTAACCATCACAGAGGAGTATTAATATTACCAGAGGTTATAGCACGGAGATGCCCTTTTTAAATATAACCCTCCTAATTTTTACCTGTTTTAAAAAGAAACTGTGAAGTGAAAAGGGATTTTACTTTCCCTTTGCTTTTGACTTTCTGGATTCTAAGCTGTTCCTCCCTCTCTGCTCAACTTCCTGCTGCTCAAAGCCCTTTCTTCCAAGCAGGTTCCAGGATTGCGTGTGCTGAGGCAAATGTGTCGCGCTGTTGGCTGGGAGAGCTGGGTCTGAGCAGTGAACTCAAGGCAATTGAATTTCTCTAACCCAGCCACCTCTCCTGGGTCTGAGTTTGGGACCTGCTGAGTTCCATGTTGTTCTGCCTTCTCTCCAGTATTGCAGTTCCATGCTCCTCTGTGACACAAACTAGGTCAAGTCCTTTACATCCCAGAGCCGTAGAATTCTGGAGGAGAAATACTGCTTTCTAGGTAACTCTTGGTGGAACTTGAAAGTAGTATATCTGAGCGAAGTGAAAACTCGGGGGCAACTTCGGTGGGAGGAGGAATAGTGTTAATTCTTACCTCAGGGCACTGCCTTTGGTTCCTCTTCTATTTATAGTTTCTGCCCTTCATCCTCTTTAGAATCCTTGAGTATTTGAAAGCACATGTTTAAATCCTTACCCGGTCCAGTAACAAATGTGGTGAGGCCCTTCTGAAATGAACCCTCGAGCTTTTCACACAGAGATCTTAGTGGCTTGTCCCTTGTCACCCTACATGTTTGGCATGGCTCAGCCTTGTTGCTGTATGGAATGTATTTGACTTGTTTCTTGCAGCTGCCAATGTTGGTTGGAATGTTTGAAATTACTGAGTGTTTGCTATGCCACTGGGTGGGGATTTTAAGCTAAATATAATGTTCAGTCTTGTTTGTGGAGCTACAGAAGACTTTCTAAAAGCAGTAGAATAAAGCCCTACCAAATCAGGATTACAGGGTTCATTGCAAAATTCTGAATTTAGATAGCACTTATTTTTTAAAGTAGAGTTAAAAAACCATGAACATATTTCTTGTAACTAGTTCTGAGGTCATGTCAACCTTGATATATTAAATGAATAAGAATATTTTGTAATTAGTGTATTTTACATATCAAGTACTGTTGGTGTTGTCAAGCATGGCACCAGGTGTTAGACTGGTGGGGTCAGACTGGATCTGGGTTCAGCAACCTCAGTACCTGAGTTCTGGCTAGGAAAGAATTCAGAGCGAAGACTCAAACTACAAGAGAACATTTATTTAGAAAATCACAGAGGTAGAAGTCATTTGTAGAAGAAATGGGCTTAGGAAACAAGTTACAGAGGCAGAGGAAGGGCCCTTGGAGCTTAGAAGTGAGAGGTAAAGGAGACACACCTGAGGGGAGGAGAAAAGGAAGGTATGGGCAGGCCTGCCCGGGGAGAGCCACTGGGGCCTCTGTCCTGTGGGTTTTAAGGGTGGAGATTTCAGGGGAGGTCCCAGGGGAAGATCTTAATAGAATATTCAACAGTTTTCTAGGTGTGTCCCTTCAGGGTGGGATCTCCACTGAGTGATTGGTCAGCACCACCAGGGGGTCATCATCCAATGCAGCTAGTCCTGAGGTCAACCATGGGGTCGCTTGTCTGGTTTTGCTGGTTTTTTGGGCCTGGAACTGAAATATAACTAAGGCCTAGATGTTATCTCCAGGGAGGAAAGGTCAGGAAGTCTAAACCTCAGGACCAGCGAGGGGAGGAAAAGTCACTCTGGGGGCGAGGTCCCACTCTACAATTGTCCATTGCTAGGCACACAGTTTTCCACCCTGGGGACCTTCTGTACCTGGCCCATCATCCTTGCTCTGCTCCTGTCTGTCTAACTGCCTATCACAATACTGTTTGAAAACATTGCAGAGTTAAAACATATTCTGTGTTCTGTGGCATATGTGATTGTTTTGTGGGTGGAAGAAAGCATTTTTAAACAATAAATATTTTAAGTATCAAGTATTTCCAGCTCTTATCAGAACTAACCATTCAAATGTATTGGACTCCCAATGAAAGATTTCCCCTCCCCTTTGGTAAAATATGTGTAAGCATGTACTATATATTCCTAAGGCACAACTTGCTTTTGATTATGCCAAATGACATTTCTCCTGATAAGGAGAAAGTAAATTTTTGAATGTTTGTCCATTTAATCTTACTGCTTTTCTGAGTTTTTTGTTTTTCTTTCCTTTTTGTTTTTTCTGTTCCTTTAGAACTAGTAGATCTTCCCTTGGTAAAGTTTGACTTTTCCTGCAATAAAGTGCTCGTGATTCCCATTTGTTTTAGAGAGATGAAGCAGCTGCAAGTATTACTACTTGAAAATAACCCTTTGCAGTCTCCTCCAGCACAGGTGAGGGGTTCGGCAGGGATATGTGGGATATGCTATCGGTAGTGCGTAGGCAGCTCTCAGCAGAGCCAGTTTGCTAACACTGCGGATTCAGTATTGCATTAGACCTGATTGTGAGCAATCACAGTCACCAAGAAGATGGAACCTTGGGTGCATCTGACTACAATAAGTTGTCTTCTGCTACACGAAGTCCATTTGCCAGCATTGGGCTCACTGTTCTAATCACCAGAATTATGTTTATTTTATTATTTGTTCAAACATTTGAAACTTTTTTATGGAGTAAAAAAGTGTAATAGAGTCCTTATTTTAATGTTAGCTGGAAAATGGAACTTAAGCATTTTGAAATATAATTATTGGCTATTTAGAGACAAGACTCAAGCTCAAATATTAAACTATGAGAAAATACGAAGTATATTTGTTTCCAGAGTTGAAATGTTTCCACGTCAGTTATCTGACTTTTATACTTTTATATTATTTATACTTAAACACATTTCTGTTAGGATTATGCATTTTAGTGCAAGAAAGACTATGAATTGCTTGATTATGGTTTTCTTTTCAAAGTAGAATTTGGAGGAAATGATTGACTGAATTTTTATATGTTTTATAGAGGTCAAATTTGGGTGTGTGTTGTTGAAGTGTTACTTAGAATGAAAATGCAAAAATTAAAATACACAGTCAAATATCTAGTGTTTATATTTTATTTTGCCATTAAAATAAATATGTATTGTTAATTTCCCCATAGATTTGCACAAAGGGCAAAGTGCACATATTCAAGTATCTGAGTATCCAAGCGTGCCAGATGAAAGCAGCTGATTCCCTCTACCTCCACACAATGGAGAGGCCACAGTTGCACCAGCATGTGGAAGACAGGTGAGTGACTGCCCTGGCTCAAAGCCCCTTCTGAGAATTTTTCTTAGGCCAGGGTATTCCAGGTAACTAAATTAAACAAAATTATTTTGCTTCACTAAATCAATGCAGATTTATAACTCAGAGTTTCAGAAACTTGTGCAATAGGAAAGAGAAAAGTGATGCTATTGATAACATTTTGGCATTTCTCAAATCTTATTTACTCTCTCAAAAATCAGTCCTTCTTGAGGGCTGTGTGTATGTGCACACTCGTGTGTGTGTGTGCAAATATGGATATCCTTAAAAATAAGACCTGTAGACACAGAGCCTGGCCAGTGGGCTCATCAGGTTAAGCAGTGTCCTACGCTCCCAAAGGGCACTGGTCTAACTCCCAGGTGCATATGGGAAGCCAGCTGATCGGTGTTTCTGTCACATTGATGTTTCTCTCTCTCCCTTTCCATTCTTCTCCCTCTAAAAAATCAGTAAAAACATTAAAAGAAATAAGTATAAGTATTTTTGCTTATTAATTAAAACAACAGTATTAAGCTCAGATATATGCTTTTTTATTATTAATTTTTAGTATGCTTCCATAATTTTGCTAAGAAAAACAGCAGATTTTATTTTTTTAATTATCTCTTTAGAATGCAGTGTGCATAGTTTTGCCATTTCCTGTTTGGAATGGGAGTGTTAGAATCCTTTCACCTGTCCTCAGCCTTTTGTTGGCGTGAATCGGCCTTGAATTTTCAGAGAACGAAATTCCCACACGGAACACACTTATAGAACACAGATTGTTTTTGAGAAGTTTTCACTGCCAAAATCTTTCCTTAACTTTTTACTAAAAAAAGAAAACTAGTGACTTAAAAATCTCAGACTACCCTAATGGTACCTTTATATACTGCATAAAATATTTTTAAATATGTTTAATCATAATTTAATGTTAAAATATGTTTAAATCAAATTTATTTAGTCACTAGATTAAAGTTTACAGAATTATTCAAGATTGCCAACATTTCAAAACATAAGAAGTAAAAGCAAATAGGTAGTTTTTGTTTTTTTTATATGATAGAAATAGTAAAATAAGAAAACTATTAACTGTTTCAAAAAACAGACTACTTGGATAAAGTGTAAATCCATGAAACCCTGAACACAAAGAATTTATTTTGTGCTCTATTAGACAATACAACTATCTGGTTTTCATTAGGCCCTTGTCTTAAATACTGAGCTGATTTGTTGCCTTATGGTAATAATAACATTTTGTATAGCAAACTTATTATTCAAATATAAATTGATATATCTTGTGAACCTTGTGATTTTGATTTTTTCTAAATGAATTCAATACTGACGGCATCCACCCCAGCAAGAAGGATTCTGATTCAGGCGTTGGAAGTGATAATGGAGATAAGCGATTATCTGCCACAGAGGTACATTTCGGGATCAGCTCATGATTCTTTTCTTTCTCTGCTTCTTAGATCTGCTGCAATTATTGAACCCCTTTCTGGTAAAAAGGCACTAACCATCTGCATGGAAATATGTGCTAATGTTTGTGAAAGCAGTTCGAAATCCTCTTAAGTGTTGTATAAGTATTAGCTGCTATTAGCTTTTTCTGCATCTTTAATATTTTGTAAATGTCTCAGGGGTAGGATTCCTGTCTCCTCCCCCTTCTCCCACCGCACCCCCACAATCATTTAGCACTTTTATACATTTAATGTAGCATCCTCATCCTGAAACAGGGAAATAAACTGAAACTTAATTTACAAGGCACATAAAATGCAACTGTAAATCAATGAGATATTGTCACGGAGGTTGACTGTCTGCCTTCTGTGATGAGCCACGTGAAACTGTAATGGAATTTTGGTAAGTTGGTGTTCTAACAGTAACATTACTGTTAGAACAATTGATTCTACTGAGGGCTACTGTGATCGTGTATTTGGGAGTATTCCTTTATTCTGTCAGGTGTTACACAGGCCTTCTTAGTACCCTGACTACGGCTCTTCGGTTAGAAAATAATCACCAGGTATCTGACAAAATTTCAGCTCAAAACGTGTACAGAGAAGCATAGGAGTGTTAGCTCAATGAATTTTGATGCAGTGAACCATATTACCTGCTCCCAGTTCAAGAAACAGGACTTTACCAGCACCCCAGAAGCCCCCCTCATGCGCCCACCCACCCAACCAAGAACAGCCACTATTCTGACTTCAAACACCATGGATTCGTTTTGCCCATTTTTGAACTTATGTAAATGGAATTGTCCTTTGAATCTGGTGTCTTTAATTCAATATTATGCTTTTGAGAATCACAGTCTGTTTTTTTAACCATATAGCATTCTCTTAATCTGCACTGATAACACTTTTCCCTTGAATGAAGTAGTGCCCTGTTTCCTTTTAGCCTTCTGATGAAGACACTGTCAGCCTCAGTGTCCCAATGTCAGATATCATGGAAGAAGAGCAGATCATCAAGGAGGACTCGTGCCATCACCTTAGTCCAGTGAAAGGTCTGAGAATGAAAGACGGGGATAAAATGCTTGTTTTTAAGTTTCAAATGCTGTGCTTACAATATGCACAAATATGGTAATAATAATAGTTGATTTTATTGCGCATTTCTTAGGCACCAGGTACTATGCTAATCTGTGAAGGGGACCTCATTGAAAGTTAAAAACTCTCATTATATCGGCTTTATAGAGGAAACCAAGGCTCAGAGAGTTTAAGTAACTTGCCAGTGTTCATGCAGCTAGTAAATAGTGAAGCTGTTATTCCGAAGATTTATACAGGTTATTTAAATCCATTGTTGGAAAGAAAATATATGTAGATATATTATTTAGGACGACTCTAGTTATTATAACACATAAAATCCTTAAATCTCATTGGTTTAACATAATCCAAATTAAATCCAAACAGGAGTTACTGATTGACCAGCCACTGCCCTCCAAGTGTGACTCAGAGACCCAACGTCTTTCATGCTGTGACCTCACTGTCTTTAACATAAGACTTCCAAAGTTTCTGAATCCTTCTGTTTTAAGGTAGAAGGGGAAGAACATGGAAGTTTGCTCATGCTCTGGGAAGTGTTTCTGGACTGGGCCTCGGAGGAGCACCTATCACTTAAAGCCAGATTGGGTGCAGGCCACAGCTAGCTACATGTGAGGGTTGGAAGCAGTTGAGTTGTGTCTCCAGCTTGACTTTGGACAAGTCAGGGGACCTTAATTCTCTCACCTGTCAGTGGTTAGATGATTCGATCAGGAAATCTTTAACCACTTTTGTAGCTCTAGAGTTCGGTGGTTCTTTGATAATACCAAATGATCACTAAGAATTCTGCCTTGCATACTTTCAGAATCCTAGTAAAATATTTCCTATCTTGGTGAGAAGCCCTCATTTGATTATATTATTAGACAGTATTTTGGCTGCTCCTGTTTATTCAGTAATTTTTTAAAGAAAATATTAAAACTTAATGTTTACTATTTTGTGACAGAGACTATTTTATGATGTATGAATGGTATAGAATTAAATTAATATGCAGATTATTCCCCTAATACTTGGAATATGCTCTCCTTAGTGATGGGAGAGCCATGGAAACCAACTCAGACTAATGTTTGCTTTGACTTCTTATGTTCAGGTGTGTAAGTTGAGCACTTAGTTTAGCATTTATGTTGATCTGAGGTCGTGGTTGGAACCATACGTTGTCTATAACTGTAAACTTTATGCGAACATGTAACTGCCACTTTATTAGTTTAGATATGCTTTATTACAGTATGCAGTATAAGCAGATAGTGTTTTAGGCAAAATTTAAAATAAATTAGTTATATACTTTGACAGTAGTGAGCTCTCTCCCATCTGTTGTAGAGGTGAGTATTCTGCTGGCCAGGAACCCTGCATGGTGGCCGCCCGACGTGGTCCTTTTTAGTCTTCAGCCCAGAGAGGACATTGGTGCTGCTTTTGCTCCCCTTACACCTCTGGGACGCCGGCTGGCTGGCTGTGCTCTGAGAATGCTTTCCTCCCTGTGGGGCCCTTCCACGGTCTCACCTCTTGTTGTTAGGAGGTTGGGTTCTTGTCTTAGTTTATACCCACATTCTTCTTTGAGATTGTTTGCTACTTAAGGACCATGAGTCAGGTTTGACTACATTTTAGATCCCTACAGTGTTTAGCATACCTGCCACTTAGTAGTTGCCCAATAAGCATTTGTTGAATTTTGAATTTGAAATAGTTACTCAACACACATTACTGAGAGCACAAAAGCTCTCTTACACTTTCTTTTCACTGTGCTGTAAAAAGGAAGACAAAATTTCACAAGGAACTAAGTCATGTAGAGATCAGTTTGGGGCTTTCTGTTTCTTTTACTTTTCTTTCTCTTCTTCTATCTTTTTCTTACATCATTCAGGGAAGACAAAACTTGGGTTATTCATATACCTCCTTAAGAGGTAGGAGAGAAGGCTGAAATGACTAGATGATACCTTTCAGGGTGATCTGTGCTTTGTTCATCTTCATGAAATCATGCTGTCTGCCTGTCTCTGTACTTTCCTAACAGGGGAGTTTCCCCAGGAGCTTCCATCGCAGCCCTCCCTTGTGACCGACAGCGACAACTCAGGAGAAGAAAGAGACCGATTTACCCACAGACCAGATGTTCTCCACTCGGAATTTATAAACTATATTAAGGCAAGTTGAGGATCAACTAATTTTTTTATTTATTTACTTCTGTTTGGTTCAAGGTTATCAAGCCACCACCTTAAATGTCAGCCACCTTTCTCAGGACTGTATAATATCTTCTCAAAGTTTAGTGTATTTCTTTCTCTTTTTTTAATTTATTGATTTTAGAGGGAGAGTAACAGAGAGAGAGGAGGGGAGAGACAGAAACAGTGATTTGTTGTTCCAGTTATTAATACATTCATTGGTTGTTTATTGTATGTGCCTTGACCAGGGATTGAACCCGCACCCTTGGCACATCAGGTCAATGCTCTAACCAACTGAGCTCCCTGACCAGGGCCTCAGCATGTTAGTTTTTTGACATTAGGAACCACTCCCTCCCATACATATCTTTCCATTGGTCAGCATATGTGTAGGGTTGTTTTTTTTGTGCTCAGAAATGACTCAGCTTTCCACTGCTCAGTGCCTCTGACCAGTTAGCAAATGTCATAGTTACCATTGCCATTCAGTAAAAGCCAAGCTAGAAAAGTTTCACGTTCTCTTCCATGTATTCTAGGTGAATGCTTTTCTGGGGAGTATATCCACAGTATAAAGAGAAACATGGAGACTTTCAGGATGTGGAAATGAATGTCTTCCCTTTTGGAAAGATCACTCTGAGGAGGCTTGCTCCTGAACCGTTGTAGTTGCAGTGAGGTGTTGAAAGATTGGGTGAAGTCACTAAGCTATCTTCATCATAGTGGTGGCACTTGAAAGAGAAGAAAACTAGCCTTTTACTGAAGCTGGTAAAGGTTTCACTTGGAGACCTGATTAGGTGCCTTGGTATGTTTCTGCCATTGTTTTTGGTTCAGGTTGTGGCACTGAAGAATGCAAGGATGATTATTTTGGTAAAATTCAAATTTGTTATGGCTTCTGAGAGATTGTAGGCTCTGAGTTAATGTGTTCAAGCCAAGCATGGGGCCCCTAGGAGCTCATACTTATTTCCTGAGAACTGTGTTAGGACAACTGGAGTCTGTCTAAACTAACATCTCTGGGCATCACCACCAAGGGATCTGGGAGGAAAATCATGAATTTACACTGTATGGTAAGTACCCTGCTGTCCTCAAGAGTTCTTCATGCTCTCAAGACAAAAATAAAGAACCTGACACAGGACTTCCATTTGTAGAAACTAAGATAATTTTTTAAAGTTATATATAGGCATACCTCAGAGAAATATTGTGGGTTTGGTTCCAGACCACTGCATTAAAGCAAATACTGCAATAAAGCGAGTCATATGAATTTTTTGGTTTTCCAGTGCATATAAAAGTATGTTTATTTTATATTGTAGTCTATTAAGTGTGCAGTAGCATTGTTCTGAAAAAATACATACCTTTATTTAAAAATACTTGATTGGCCCTGGCCAGTTTGGCTCAGCAGTTAGTGCATCGACCTGCGGTCCAGAGAGACCCGGGTTCGGTTCCCACTAAGGGCATGTACCTCAGTTGCAGTTTGTCCCCGGCCCTGGTTAGGTCATGCAGGTGGCAACCACTCAATGTGTCCCTTTCACTTTGATGTCTCTCTCTCTCTCTCTCTCCCCCTCCCATTCTATCTGAACAAAATATCAAAAAATATCCTCGGGTGAGGATTAAAAAATAAATAAATAAATAAAAATAATTGATTGCTAAAAAATGCTAACCATCATCTGAGCCTTCAGTGAGTCATAATCTTCTTGCTGGTGGAGGGTCTTACCTTTTTTTTTGTATTTTATTAATTTTGTTACAGATGTTTCTCCTTTCTACCCATTGACACCATCCTTCCCATCCCCCCACCCTGCTGTCCCCAGCTTTGTTGTCTTTGTCCATCAGTTATGCATACATGCATGCAAGTTCTGTGGTTTACCCCTTCCCTCCTCCCCACCCCCTCTTCTGAGGATTGTCAGTCTGTACCCTACTTCGATGACTCTGGTTCTATTTGGAGGGTCTTACCTTTGATTTGTAAAAAAAAAAAAACAAAGGCGATGTCTGCACAGCTCAGTGCAGTGAGGGGCACTGCGGCGAGGTGTGCCTGTGGAAGGATGAAGCACGGAACTCCGGAACTCGTCGTGTCCAGGCCATCAGTTCTTGTTTCAGAATAGCCCACAGCCGCTGCCTCGTGTCTGCGCTCTGCCTCCACTGACGGTGCCTTGGTTGAGCTTTATCGTTTCTAATCCTGACGGCTGCAGGATACCCCCACCCTGACTTTGCACCCAGCATCCTGCCCCTCCATGCACACACGTGGGTGCACACGCATGCACATTTGGTTCTGCCACCAGCGGTTCTTCTAGAGGACAGATCTGATGACATTGCTCTGAGGCCTGTGGTTTTCACAAGGCTCTCCCAGATTTGACCCCTGTCTGTCAGCTCTGGGATAAGCCTATCACAAAATATGGAAAATTGAGCTTTCATCTTTATTGTATGAAGTGTTCATTTTAAGATGGAAACCCTGAAGGAAAACAATCAAAGCAATTAATAAAATAAAGTATATTGTTTCAGAAAAGCAAATTTCCCTAGGTTCAGAGATTTTAGGAAGTAAAGGGCTTTGTGGAGATGGCTGCTCTCCAGCATGGACCCTGTGGGCAGAGTCGAGAGGAGTGAATGGGTAGAAATCTACTGCTCATGTTTCCCGCGTGTCCACTCCTGCAAGAGGCCTCTCTTGGAAAGTTGAGCGAAGAATGCTAGTAATAAAATAAGACCTAAATCTGCAGTGAAAAGTCATGCATTGAAAACCAGGCCTTTTTTAGCTTTGAACTGCATCACTTTAAAAGCCTGTGAGTGTGCTTGATGGCCAGCCCGGCCCTCACAGAGCCCGCGTTCTGTGTCATGCGCCCTCTGTCTCCTTCACCACATTAGCAGCCTGTATTCCTGGAAGAGCAGTGCATCCTCACTATTTGCAGTAGTTCTGTTCTATAAAGTCGCCTCCAACACTGAGCTGTCAAGTTCTGAGCCATTTCTCCAAAGGGCAAATTAAATACAAGGTTAGGTTCCCTGTCAAATGGCCAATACGTATATGACCTTGCTTGTTGTGTTTTCTGTTATTGTATTTATGTGTGTTTCTGTATGAAGATACTTTATTTGATATGTTTTGTTGATTCATTAACATTGACCTTATGGCCTACACCACTAACTCATGCCTAACTGAAGCTTGTCTAACACATTTTTCTCTGTTAAGGGACATCACAGCCTTCTTGTGCTTAGGAACATGAGACCGCACTTGAGCACCATGCTCAGGGGCATTGTAAACCACGAAATCACCCAGAAAGGCACAAAAATGTGAAAATATGGCACTAAATAGACTCTGAAAAGGACACTTGTTTGTACTATGAGAGCTGAACAGGAAGGCAGACTGTCTCCTTGTTCGTTGTCAGCTGGGGCCATTGTGGTGGCCACTGTGGTGGCCACTCAGATTTCTCACCATCTGTGCATGTCTGCGAGTGACTCTGAGGGCGCCACTTATATTGTTTCAGGGTTACAAATAAATTTTATGGAGTAGGCAAATTTATAACTCTGGAATTCGCAAGTAATGAGGATCAACTGTGTAACCGCCTGACTTAGCAGAAGAAACCCTGTGAGCCCTATTTTGCATATTGAAAGAAAATCGGTATTGGCTGATTTTTATTATGAAACTGAAAATTATAAGGAACCACCATGGCTCCTATAGTTGAAGCCCAACAAGAAGAGATAAGAACATTTCTCAGTTACATCTGGTAATATAATTTGCCCCATGGATTTCGCTATTATTTGGGGAGTGTGATACAGGGATTTTTATGTTGACTTTATTATGCACTAAAAGTATAATCAATATAGAAAATGTCTTGAGCATCTTTCAAGCCAGAGACTGGCATCAGGTGGCAAGAATGATCTCAGTGACACACCTGGAGAACTGGCTGGGCCTGACTTAGTTAAAGAGTCAGAACCTTGAAGCAGAAAACAGTCTTTAGGCTGCTGGCCCTTCCTTGCCAGGGAACCGTACACCCATCCAGTGTGGCTTCTGTTCCAGCTGTTGGCTGAGCAGAAGCAGCATTTCTCTGAGTCAGAGAGGAAAGTAGAAAGACACGTGGGAGTTCCAGTGCTGGGACGTGCCTTTCTAGTACTCCCAGTGTTGTTTCTCTGGGTAAATAAGGGGGGCGGGGTACTTCAGTGAAATTGGATGTTGTATACTTGAAACCCATTAGATGTCATTAGAGGCATTTTCTGCTGTTAAATATTTATGCATTCTTTTTTCCCAAACACACACACGCACATCCTTCTCTCACAAATGCTAGAATGCATTTCTCATGTGACTGACAATCCCAACAGAAGATCTGTGGACACTAGGCGGAGCTAGGAGGCAATAAGGAATTAAGTGATGAATTTTTTTTTTAAATCTTCATCCAAGGGTATTTTTCCAATTATTTTCAGATAGAGTGGGAGTGAGGGAGGGAGAGAAAGAGAGAAACATCGATGTGAGAGAGGCACACCGACTGATTGCCTCCCGCACAACTCCAACCAGGGCTGGGGACGAACTGCAACCGAGATACGTGCCCTTGACCAGAATCGAACCTGTGACTCTTTGGTCCGCAGGCCGATACTCTGACCACTGAGCCAAACTGGCCAGGGCAAGTTTTGAATTTTTGATAGTAAATTCATAGGTATTGTGGTCCTAGGCCAGGTTTTTTTCTTTTTTTTCCATTTCATTTTTAATTATGGTAAAATAAATATAACATAAAACTTACCGCCCCAGCCATTTCTTAAGTGCACAGTTCAGTGGTGCTAAGGACAGTCATACTGTTGTGCTGTCATTGCACCAGCCATCCCCAGAGCTCGTTCCATCTTGTCAAACTGAAGCTCTTGACCCATTAAATACTATCTCCCCGATCGATCGTCCCCCTTCTCGGCTCCTGGCAGCTACCGTTCCACTCTCTATATTTATACATTTGACAGTTCTAGGTACCTCATAAAATTGGAATCATATAGTGTGTCTTTTTGTAACTGACTTATTTCACTGAGCACAGTGTCCTGAAGATTTCTTCTCACTGTAGCAGGTGTCAGGATTTCTTTCCTTTTTAAGGCCAAATGATATTTCACTATATGTACTGACCACATTGTGTTTATCCATTCATTCACTGGTGAGCATTTGGGCTGTTTCCACCTTTTGCCCGGTGTGAGTAGTGCTGCCATGAACATGGGCTGGGGCAGGGTTTGACTGTGACTGTTGGTGGCCAGTGGTTCTCAGGAGACCCATGTGTTCTGTCCACAGGATAGAGCAGAGGACTGTGAGGAACTGTTACGGATAGAAGAGGACACACACTGGCAATCCGAGGGAATGTGAGTACCGAGGGCCTGGTTAGGACCCACTGTCCTGTCAAGTTCACAGTCTGAGCAGAGTGGAAGCCCTGTCGTGATAGGATTCTGGTCCGCCTTTCTTTGGGCAAGCTGATATTCTTCACCCAAAGATATTGATAGGAAGTAGTCAGTTTTCCTTTGTCTGATGCTTATTGTCACAGTATTAGGTCAGACCTCTTCCTTGGCCCTGAGTTTTATCAGATTTGAGACTGTGGGTACAAATGTTATTCAAAGAATTAGGTAGTGTTTCTAAAGTGAAGCTTCTTCCTTTCATTTGTGTGAAGCAGCCGTCAACTGGACCTAAAGGATTCCAGCTCCCCTTCTTTACCCAGGTCTACAGTTTTAAGATCTGAGAAAATCATGTACCTCTAATGTCCTGGTCCTAAATCTAATCCTTATAATAGCCAGGAATTGTCAAATACCACCTGCCAGGCACTAAATAATCCACAGGTAGTGGATTATTAATCCACCTTTACAACGATCCTGTATGTTCTCTCTGTTATTCCCCATTTCACAGATGATGGGGCACAGAGAGATTGATTATTGCCCCAAGGTCACAGAGGGCCAGGTTGAACCCAAGGAATCTCACATGAGAAGGACATCCCTTCTGTTCTATTGCCCATAAAGATTTACTTGACAAGCTTGACGGGGAAGGGCATCGATCTGTATCAGCCAGTGAACTGTTCCCACGGGAACTGAGTTTGGACCATGTGCCATAGAGTAGAATTTTGGTTCACAGGATTTTGTTTTCCATGATGTGGCATGTAGGTCTGGACCTTCCATCATACCTTATTGGGTTTTTCCCCTTACAGAGGATTTACCATATTGTTAAAAAATCTTTCCACTTAAGTGGAAAGAAGTAACCAAGCTCAAATCTCTCTTGCCCTTTAAAAGCATTAAACAGTTCCTTTCAAATCACTATCCAGTATTTCCAGCATTTACTGGATATATTTCTATGATGCCAAGGCGGCCTAGCTTGATTATACATTGTATAATTATAGGAAAACAGTTTTTAAAACTGTACAGAGCTTTGAAAATCCCATTCTTGATTCTATCTCTGTTGTTCTTAACCTTGCCCATAAATCAGGATGGTTTGTACAGCTTAGTAAAATGCCCAAGCCACAGTCATACCTACTTGGGACTCAGGCCTGGCATTTTTTTAAAGTGCTGCAGATGTTTTGCTGCATATAGAGCTTAGACTAAGACTTTTCCACACTGAAATCCCATATTGTATGAAAGCTATAAAACTGAGCCACACTGGTTGGACTGCAGTTGAGAGTCTGGAAGTGGTTGCAGACCTGCCCAACCTCCCAGGGCTCAGGAAAGCAGGGGGGAAGGATGGCGTGGTGACTTTTTGTGAGTTGCTTTGCAGCAGAACTGGGCTTCCCGCGTCCGAGAGCTCCTTCCACTGCATTCTGGAAACCCATCCCACAGGGTCCCAGCAGGCCTCATTGTAATGTTGAAATTGTCAAAATCATTTTTATATGGATTTTTGTCATTTTGCTTTTAAGAACCTAGATGATATTCATGTGCTACAATTGTTTTCATTCTCATGCCCTGTTTCATGCTGCAGAACACATTCATCCAAAGACCAGGACCTGCCTATAGTGATGATTGAACAGCTGAGAGAAGCGGTAGGGTTGCTGCAAGACCCCAACAGGTATGCATGACTTCCTTCGCCCAGGCTTCGCGTGGAAATAATCCACACTGATTCAGGGAGCATGTTATCTCACTTCATAAAGATCGTTATACATACACAGTATGGGCTCCGTCTAACCATGAACAAAGTCATTTTAACTGCCTGTCTTCCCAGGATTCATCAGTGAGAGTCCAACTTCTGGAGGGATTGAGACCCTGTTCCCCCTTTCTCCACCCTTTACCGAAGTTTATTCACTCTTCCTGAAATTCACATGGGAATTTTTGGTATAATTCTTAGCAAACAGAAATATGGTCATCCCTGATTTATAGAACTATAAGGGAAATTTTTGAAAAGGGGAAGAATTATTTTGCTCAGTACTACCATATTTATTTGATGGCAGCAAACATATGTTAACTAAAGAATATATTTCTAAAACTTTGGGTTACAAGATAGTTTTCAATTAATTAGTCATTGTCAATAACATGCATCAGATTCTCTTTTTTTTGGTTGCTTAGTTGAGGATAATGAAATTGACAAACTGTTTTTCACTAAGACAGTATACTTGGTATTAGGTAATAACTACCTTATCACTAGAGAAATAGATCCGAAGTTTATCCCTAGTGAAGTCCTCAGGGGTCCTGGGAATTTAAATATGAAGATGATATGGTCTTATAACGTGGTGAGTGTGGAACTCACCACAGGGATTTCAGCTGTGGTTAGTGAGCCTACACCACCGGTGTGGTCAGGCCCTGAAGAAGTAGTGATGGGTCAGGTTGAGTATGAATGAAAACCTTTAGCTGCTATTTGAAAAGCATTTTGGTTCAGCAGACAGTCACTGAGTGCTTGGAGCATAGGAAGACCTACAGCGTGCATGTATGTAACGTTGAACGAGAAACAGCTCTTCCTTCTAAGAACTTAAACTGTAGCAGATGGAGATTGCCTTGAGTAGTTATTTGTACAAACCAGAGTGAATACCTGACCCCAAATCAAAAAGGGGAGCTGGTTAGACCAACCTTCCTGAAGGTTTGGATATTAACTTTTAATAACTAGCAAGTTCAAGGAGAGAGCAAATTCTGGATTGAATGAAAAGCTCGGGCAAAGGCATAGAGGTCAGAAAGATGGAGCAAGCCTAGGAAGCCTCGGGCAGACGAGACGAACCCCATTCTAGCCGTGCCTCAGTGTCACTCGTGGAACTGTGAAAACAGGTGCCTGACATTACTTGTGGGGCTGAGGGCTGGTCATTTCTTTCTTTTTAAAAAAATGTATCTTTATTGTCGGAAGTATTTCAGCTGTCCCCTTTTTGGAGTCTGGCCATTTCCATTTATTTTTTATTTGATTTTCCTTTTTTGATTTGAGAGAGAAAGGAAGGGAGAGGGAGAGAAATAGAAACGTTGTGAGAGAGAACATCGATTGGCCACCTCCTGCATGTCTCCCACTGGGGATCGGGCCCACAACCTGGGCATGTGCCCTGACCAGGAATCGAACCAGTGACCTCTTGGTGCATGGGTCAGTGCTCAACCACTGAGCCACACTGGCCGAGCATCCACTTTTTTTCCTTAATCCTCACCTGAGGACATTCTTTTCCATTTATCTTCAGATAGAGTGGGAGGGAGAGAGAGAGAGAAACATTGATGTGAGAGAGACACATCAACTGGTTGCCTCCCACACGACCCCAACCAGAGCCAGGGACCAAACCACAAACTAGGCACATACCCTTAACTAGAGTCGAACCCAAGGCTCTTTGGTCCGTGGGTGGATGTTCCAACAGCTGAGCCAAACAGGCCAGGGCCATTTCCACGTTTTAGAAGTAATGCCTGTGCTTCTGATGTGCAGCCAGTGCTGAGAAGCACCAGGAGCATTCTGGAGTGATGCAGGGGATGACTTCAAATGCTGTTTTCAGGAGCTGAGACTTTATTTTATTATACATAGGGGGAGATGATGACGGTTAAAAAAAATAGGACTATTCACGTTGTTAATTCTTTCAAATCATTGGTTCAGGCCTAGCTTTTTATTAAGTGTCTCATTAAGACATGTTCTTTAGAAAGCTGAGTTTCACATCCTGAACCAGGGTAGTTAGTGAGAGGGTAGGAGATGGACAAAAGAGCATGTGTATGTGTATATGTGATGAGCATTTACCCTTTGGGGTTGTGAGGATTTGAAATTGTATATAAACACTGGTGGGAAGGTAGATTGGCCACACCATTCCAGAAGGCATCCTAGTAGTATGTAGTTGGGTCTAAAAAATATAGAAGCCATTTATTTAAATGAATTCTAAAAAATTATCTTACGAGACAAAAGGATATGAACAAAAATTGTGACGGGGCAGGTGTTTTAGCAAATAATTGGAAAAAAGGAAATCTATTTGATCATTAATAAGGTGGAATATAATGTAGTCAATAAAATGTTTTTAAAAGTTTCCAGTACATTTTAGAATGCTCATTCTATAAAGCTGATGTCAAAAAGGTATGTAAAATGTGCCCTGGCCGGTTTGGCTCAGTGGTTAGAGCATCAGCCCACAGATCAGAGAGCCCTGGGTTCAGTTCCCACTAAGGGCATGTACCTCGGTTGCAGTTTGTCCCCGGCCCCAGTTGGGGTGGTGAGGGTGGCAACCACTCAATGTGTCTCTCCAATGTCGATGTTTCTCTCTCTCTTCCTCCCTCTCTCCCTCATGCTCTAGCTGAAGATAAATGCAAAAATATCCTTGGGTGAGGATTTAAAATAAAAAGTATGTAAAATGCACAAAGTTTGATCTCAATTGTATAAGTAGAATTAGGTTTCAAATGTGTAAGAAGCTAAGAAAAAATTAAAGCTGGAAGGACTTATATTACGATGGAGATTTTTCTGTAGGTGCTTGTTAATATTTTTTAATGCTTTTATGTGTTACTCAGTGGTAGATACTGATGTTGATCTTTGATGGTCATAGGAAGTGGGTGGTGAGAAGACTGGGAGGGAACAGTCCACAGTGTTTTAGACCTGAGCCCAGTAGGTCTGTCTGAGATGGGGAATCGGGGGGATAGCAGGCTTGAAGTAGTTGGGGACAGTTTAGGATGTGCTGAATGGTACCCAAGGTGGCAATGTGGCAGTGTACATTCAGCTGCTAGGTGTTTAGTTCAGGGACTCGAGTTAGATTTGAAAGTCATTGTCACAAGTTGCTGGGGTAACAGATGTGTAGGAGGATGAGGTTCTCCAGGGCAGGCAAGTGCTGGGAAGGGAATGTGTCCAGGACAGCGCCTTGAAGACAAGCGTGACAGAGAAGGCCACAGCTGGGCTCAGACTTGATGTTGTTTTAATACTTCTGCTTTTACATCTTGTATCCCTCTCCCAATGACTTTTTATTACAAGTTCTAGATTGATTACTACATGAGCCCCAAAGCAACAAAGAGCAGCCTGATTAGGTGAAGTAGCAGTGGCGTGGGAATATGGGACTGGAACCCAGGAGTACGATCCGAGTGACCTGAAGGGAGCGGCTCTTGTTCTGGGCCTCAGTTTTGCCATCCTTCCTGAGAAGTGGGATGGGCTGAGAATCTCGAGAGCCTTCCTCTCCAGCTTGGAAAAGTCTGAGGCAGTGAGCTGCCAGGGTGCTGAGCAAGTGGGAATGGTGGTGTTTGCTGAACTGTGGAAGGAAACAGCTCCGAGCAAATTCCCAAGGGATAGATGATTTGCTTCTTTATGGGGTGATATTTTAAAATTATATTGTCATACAGTGGTATATGGATTTCATTTCCTCCCTGAAATAATCCACTGCTTTGGCTGCTTTAGATCTTCATTGTTGATCCTGAAATAATTATTGTAAGATTGACTTTATCTTAAAATTCCAGCCCTGTGTTTGTTTCTGATAAAAAAAGGACACTTCAAGAGGTCATTTATTTCTAGCTATTTGGGACTGAATATTAGTAATAAGCACTTTACATACACATTGAATTCTTTCTTTAGTTCATATTTTATAGATGAGATTTTTGTAAGTTATCCTATTTTGCCTTTAACTTGGTTTCTTTTAAGAATTTCTGGGTGTTGATTTTATAGCATATTTAATAGGCATGTATAGTATGAACTCTTCCTACCTTTTAGGTTAGCTTTGTAAGTTTTATACAACATGGAAATTCCTGGTTTAAAAATTGCAGAAGTTCAGAAACTAAGACCTTTTCAAAAATAAAAGTGTATGTCAAGTTGCTTATGAATTCTTTTTTTTTTTTTTGAATGAGGGTATGAGTATATCAGAGAGATCTTTCTTTTAATACAAAGGACCTTTGGTATATATACCATGATATGTATCCTTAGCAACTTTTCTTGCTTCTGTAAATTAATCAAATTCTAGAATAAAATTTATTGTGTACTGCCTATAAATATTATGACTATCAGCAATTACTGTTATACTGCAAATAAGTTGAACTCTGATACCAATCAGCAGTCAGAAAATTATATTAAATTTGGCATATGATGGGAAAATACCATATACTTTGAAATTTCTACCAGAAACCTTCATTAATTAATCCTCATGGTAAACATAATCTTTTACTATATTAAAATTTTAAGCTAAATATGACCAAAAGCAGTGGAAATTATTAAAGTTTTAATAAATTGCTAACGTCTTTTTCCCCTACTCTTTAGATTAAGCACTGATATCACAGAGAGAAGTGGGGTACACTTTCATCCTAAGGAATCAGCAGAAGCCATGGAATTACAAGATTCTGCACTCAAGTACGTTGAACTTTTAAACCTGAGTGTTTTCTCTTTTCACATGGAAATATGTGTGCTTTAAATTCCACCTTATGTCTTTCCCCCCGACACCCGCAGTGGTCGAACGCAGCTGGAGACGTCTCTGGTGTGTGAGGTAAGCGGCTCTGGGCCACCGGAACTGTGCGCCATGCTCTGCCCCGAGCGGTGCCTGCCACCTGCTGTGACAGGCACAGGGGCAGCACACGCCCTAGGCAGACCAGTTCAGGATCTCACTTTCAAACTTTGTATACTTTTACACTCTTTAGTTTTACTTTTTATCTGTTATACTCCATCTTCCATCAAAGATAAGAGCTGGCTATTTCCATGAAATTCTTTAAGTTTTTGTGTCAGATAACCTTGCTGAGTCAGGCGATAGCAACTAAGATCCGTAGGGAACCTGCTCTGTGTCAGAAACTGAAGGCAGGACCATTCCTTGTAGGTTTTAGAGCCACAGAAGAATCAACAGGAACAGACTTGAAAGACAAGAGCAAATGATTTGGGAGAGGCCCAGGCCGCTGAAGAGAATATAGTAGAGCGAGATGGGTAGGGTTACCCTGGGTGAAATTGGGTTGCTGGCTAAAGCAGTTTTGACAGAAAATTAGAGATGAGCCTAGAAGTTCTCAAAGAAACAGGCTTGAGAGTGGGACAGGTTACAGCCTGTTTCATCCCTTCTCAGTGAATGGGTTTAGGATGTCTAATTGCAGTACAAACTGATTGATGTCCCCTGAGGTATCTGAACAGGTGCTATAGTAAAGTAGTTTCACACTCTACACTAACTAAATGTCTGTGAAGGGCACAGAGAACTGCAGATGAAAGTACTGTGTTCCCAGACAGTATGGTTTCACTGTTAAGCACAGCGACTTGGAATCATGTTGTTTCAGTTGCATCTCAGAGACTTGCTGACTATGGGCAATGAAGGACAACCTCTCCAGACCTCACCTTCATTTTCTGTACATTGGGATTGGTTTCACAGCTCAGGACACCGAAATGGTAGCTGGTAATGTTACTCTAGGACTCTGTTACTGTCACTGGTGTGGTCCTTAGACAGAATCACTGCGCCCTCTCCTCCCTGGGTGGGGTCCTCATGGAATTGCCCAATAGTGGAACATCAGGAAGTCTTTTATTTGAAGCTGCCCTGGGCCCATTTCATCAAGTTCCTTTTCAGACATGCTACTTGTGATTCTATCCAGGCCCACTTTTTTTTTTTTTTTTTATCCTCACCCGAGGATATGTTTTTATTGATTTTAGAGAGAGAGGAAGGGGAAGAGAGAGGGGGAGAAACATCGATGTGAGAGAGAAACATGGATTGGTTGCCTCTCTTACATGCCCCGATCAGGAACCGAACCTGCAACCTTTTTGGTGCACAGGATGACACTCTAACTAACTGAGCCCCCTGGCTAGGGCCCCACATTTTTTTAAGCTGCTTATTTGGAAATAATTTTAACTTTATTAAATTTAGGGGGAAAATTAAAAGATTGTACAAAAGGTTACTGAAACTTACGTTTTACCAGTTTTACCTATGGTTAACACTATTCCACACTTGCAGTGTTACTCTGCCTCTGTCTCTTTCTTCACATACATAGTTCTTTTTCTGAAAATTTGAGGTTAAGTTTCACACATCATCATCCCTTACCCCTAAACCTTTTGATGTGTGTTTTCTAAGAATAGGGATTTTGTCTTACATACCCACAGTTATCAACTTTATAAATTCACATTGATAAAATATTTATTTAATCTACCATCCATATTCCAAATATTTAGGTTGATCTAATGTCACTCACAGTGGGTCCCCGCCTTCAGTGTAGTGTTCCGTCTAGAGGCAGGTCATTGTCAGGTTCCTGCAGTGTCCCTTCTTCGGGAACATTTCCAGAACCTTTCTTTGCTTTTTATGACCTTGAAATTTTGAAGAATATAGTCCTCTTTTTTTTTTGTTTTTTGTTTTTTTTTTTTGTTTAAATGGGACGCTCCTTTTGTGGAACAAAAGTCCCTCTTATTTCTGCATAATTAGATTGAGGTTCTGCATTTCTAGGACACACTACATAGGAGATATTCTGTTCTCCTCAGGGTGTCACATTTGGGCACACTGTCCATCCGAGCCTCATTGGTGATGCTAGTTTGATCACCCAGTCGAGGTGACGTCACTGCACAGTCACCGTTCTGTTTTACCCTCGTACCAGTGCGCAGTCGGGAGGAGGTGCTGGAGGCTGCGCAGGTCCTGCTGCGGGCTGCTGGGGCTCCACGTGATGTCGGGAGTCCCAGGGGACACGACCGCTCGGGAAAAGGCCCTCCACCCCATCTCTGCTCTACATTGTTTGTGTTAATAGAAGGGTGTTTTTTTCTTTTTCCTTTTTGGTTGAATGAGGAGTCATTTGGTATAAGAAAGTGTTACTCATTTTCTTTGCTTTCTCTAGCAATTCTCTGTTCGTGACAAACATCTCTATGATTTTAAAAAGGGAAGTATTAGTACTTGTTGAGTAGCTGTGCTGGGTTCAGTCTTGTTTTTGTTGTCAAGGACTTCTATATGAAGGACATGGAGTTACCCTCACGCTTAAGGCATGTTAAAAATTATGGAGGAAAGAAGACTGTACAGTCAAACCTCCATCTTGAATGTCTCCCGTCTTGAACCGTTCGCTTCTCAGCCTGACCACTGTTTCATGCTGACACCTGTGGCTCAGTCCCGTGTCTCTCGGGTGACAAACAGAGAAGTCAGTGTACCGCTCTGGACAGCTGAGGAAGCTGTGAATGTTTTTGTGTTTGTTTGCTATTGTTACTGCTATTATTATTAAATTTGCATTTTTTACTATGCATTTCTTTTCCTTTTTGTTAAATTTACATTTCACATCCTTTTTGTTTTTAAAGTGTTTATTTACAGATTAAATAGTACACTAGACATGCACTCTATATAAGAACGGTTAATACAGGGAATCATTTGGGGGTCTGGAACGGATTAATTCAATTTACAATATTTCTAATGGGAAAAAAGCTTCAGTTTTCGAACAGTTTTCCAGAATGAATTAGGTTAGAAAACCAAGGTTCCACTGTATATCGAAACAATTTAGAGGAGCCTCTGAGATAGTGTGTAATCCTGAGTGTTGTAGGTGCCCGGGTGGTGGAAGGGATAGATTTTAAGGAGAGGGGTGTAACCGAGATGTGGGGCAGGTGGATTGGAATCAGTCCCAGGAAGCCGCGCTGAGAAAGGCAGCAGAGCTGAGCTGGAGGGGCGCTGGGGCGTGGGTGGTGCTAGTCAGGTAGGTGAGGCCAAGGTTATGAAGTGGTGTTGTAATTGGTAGCACATCTTATCTCACCATGAACACACTTTAGATGATTGGCTAGCATTGGCATCCATTCGGAAAGAATTGCAAATCACATCCTCATAAACATGAATAGTATTGAATGGGGGAGGATGTTGGGGACATGGTAGAACAATGGGGAAAATTAGGGGAAGGAGTTGCTGATGGGGAGAATCAAACCTGAAGTTACTTGTGAGCAGTTCTAATAAAGCCATTAAATTGGGGAGGGAAATCAATTATATTTTATTCTAAAAATATGTTTTTTTCCTTGCATTTGTCAAAGTTGAGAATAATTTTTTATAGCACTCCTCAATAATAGGAGTAGGAAAAATATCTTAAATTTATACTAATTTGGTGCAGTATCAATGCAGATGTTTACATTAGCCATCACCAATTTTTTATTAAGGTGCATTAATAGGGTTCTCGATAACCATGTAGAGAAGGTAGATCCAGGTAAAATAAGCATTTGTTGTCGAAGAAACTGATGCTGAATTGACAGCATAAGATTTTCTTAGGTGTTTTGGGGTCCAGGCATGTGTACGTAAGCTCTCAATGAAATTCTGTGTATTTGCGAACTGCTGCCTTGAAGCATTTCTGAGTCCTGTAGCTACAATGGGGGTGGAAGCCTGCAGGTAGCTGACCTTCACAGGTGGTTTGGGCTGGCCTCTTTGCTCTGGCAAGTTTTTTTGCTTAGTTTATATGATACTTTAGAAGTATTTTTCTGTGAATACAGCTGCATGTTTTTAGAAAATGTAAGTGTCACGTACTTAGCTACTTCACACACTAGTTAATTTATTCAGTATATATTCATTGTGCGCCTATGTGCAGGCATATGGTGGAAGTAAGAAAGACACAGTTCTTGTCTCAGTAATCATATAGTCTAATGAAACATACCATGCATTTTTTTCTTCTTTAAGGTGCAAAATGATCTAATATCACAGAGTAATGAGAGCGAGTATTCTCCAAATGAGGTAAGTTTCCTGAAGATTAATAAAAGCTGAGGTATTCTTTGAAGCTGAATTGGAATCTGTTTTGCAGAAATATATAGTCCAAGACTGTCATGATTAATGAGTTCATTGCATTGCAGATTCTCTCATTAGCTGTCAGCACCTTATCTGGCCCTATCCATAAAAAATGATTAATTTTATAAGATATATTTTGAAAACCAAATATGGGAACATATTTATAGAAAACAAAATGAAAATAGTTCAAATAGGCAACATATAGAATGTCTTATCATCCATCGGTGATCCAGTGAGTGGTTTCCCTGTGGATGAGAGGTCTGTCCAGTGTTCTGTGCTGCTTTATCTCACTGTTATGAAATTCATCAGACGTGCCCTCTGTGGCATGGAGTGAGCGTGTGCCTGTGTGTGTTCACGCATGCTCATGCACACATCCGCTCTGGGGCCGAAAAGGATAGCCAGTTTCACATGATTGTAAAATATGTTTATAATGAGCAAATGAAAAAGTGAATGGTTCGCCCCCAAAATAACGTTCTGTTGATTATGCCACTGAAAGCATTTGCAGTGTGAAGTAGCATTGGTTATATTATTTAGTCAGGACTTCATCACACAGCAGAAAATGCAAAAATAGTGGTTTTGATTAAAAATCCTTGAGCTTAGAGAAGCATACATAGTTCTGCTTCAGTTTCTTACAAAATTTCCTTCCCTTGTAACATCGCAGATTAGAGAAAACTCCCCTGCAGTCTCTCCTACCACCAGCAGTACAGCTCCGTTTGGCCTGAAGCCTCGCTCAGGTAAATGAAAGCCGCGAAGTTCTTCAACCTGTGAACAAGTCAGTGGTTTCTCTTTAGCCTTCTAAGTGCACACAGCCTCGTGGGCTCTGAGTGGGTCCTGGCGTCAGCTGGCTGCAGCTTGGGAAGGCAGGTTCAAAGCCTTGTTTGTAGTGGTTCGGTTATTAAATTTGTGTTATCAGTAGTAGTATCTTACCTCCTTTTGAACAGCAAAGAAGGAAAGGTGATGGGGCATATAAGTAGGTAAGAAACATTCTGTTGAGTTTTTTACCCCAGGGAAGATATAATAGCTAGCCCTTTGCCTCAGTGGTTCCTGGGACTTGATAAGTTCAAGGGAAGTCTCCGGAGGTGACCCCTTTCTGAAACATCCCTCACTGGCTTTCCGAGCCTAGGTCTATGTATTTACTCGTGTAACAAGCACTGATCATTTCAAGGCTCACAGGACTGGCCAGGAGTCTTTTTTTTTTTAAGAGCCTTTTGTTTAGCCCTGGCCAGTTTGGCTCAGTGGTTGGAGTGTCGGCCTGCGGACCAGTGTGTCCCAGGTCCGTTACCCGCTAGGGGCACATGCCAAAAAAGGAGCCTTTTGCTTATATAACCTACTTTCTTTTACTTTCTTAGTAAATGTAAAGTATAGCAATGTGCAGAATGACTATTGATTTTTAAAAGAAAGACTATGTATAGAAAAATTTAGTTCTTCCATTTCTTCATGTACTTAAAATATTGGCACTGTGTACCTTCTTTTAAGTCCTTCTTGGTTTTCATAGTTTTGATTCTTAGGTCGTTTGCATATACTCACTGCTAATGCTTTTTAACTAAGTACTAGAAAATAACAAGCACTTTTAAGCAAAAGGTGGTTAAGAACTCAGATGTTCTTGGTTTTTTCAGTAAAGCGTTTTGACAACAGTAGAAGCTACTCGTGTATATTCTGACAAAGGATATCCACAGAAAAACACAAAGATAATTATTTCATAAAGAATATTTTTATTGATTTTGGAGCAAGTTGATTGATGATGTGGCCAGGTGTAATGGTTTCCTGGCATTTTGAATGGGCTGTAATACAAAGCTATTTGAGAAAATGCTTGGGCATGGCAAGGGTTGCTAGTAGGTGTTTAATAGAAAGATATTTGCTTTATTATGAAAAAAAATTCAAATGCCTGGCCTCCTCATTTTTGGAACTGAGCATATGCAACGAGATCTGGGCTGACTTCTATTTTCATGGTCCCAGGCATGTGCTGGGAGGAACCTAGGTCACTCCAGGCACATGTCATCTGTGCCTGTACTGATAGCTCACCAGGAGAGTTACTGCTACACACTGAGGACCTCCTATTAGGCTACAGACTTTCCCCTAATCCTTACAAAGCAGTTTTATACAACTTTAAAATAAATATTTTCCAATTGATCAAATCAAAAGTTGAATAGATTTTTTAAAAATAACATTCTTTTGAATGTTGCAATTTAGTTGTAAAATTGACTCTGACTTTTTTATTCCTGGTATGGAGTCAAAACTCAGCTTATCAACATTGTCCTTGTACTGTTAAACCATTTCAAATTCTTTGCAGTGGTAAACAGTACACGGGGCATTTACTTTGAATAGCAGAAAACAAAGACCATTTCCTCTGCAAGCTTCCAGTCCCCCTGTAATGCTGACTGACTAGTGGAAATGGTTCTTGAAAGCTGGGGGAGTAAATAATGCTGATTTAGCTTCAGAACATCAAGTGGATTTGGGAACTTTATAAAACTACCATTATGTACTATGAATTTTTTTTTCCATTTTATTTAATAATTTTGTATTTTCACATTTTAAAAAAATAATATATATATAGTAATCTTAATTGAAGATGATGTAATTTTAAAATATAGAAATTATTTTTATTGAGTAGCTTTGGAACTTTTAAAAGTTAGTTAATTTTTATTTTAAAGTTCATTATATAGATTTTTGTGATTTCTGTGTTATAAATAAAAACAGACTGCTCAAAACAGCAAAGGGGAGTAAGAACTTAGACTCTTAAAGTAGACTGAGAGTTTACTGCAAAAGAACATTTTTTTCTCTCCTTTGTTTTCCTCCAAAGACAACTGTATATACCTAAATATTTATTCCTAGAACCATGTCCATTTATTTTACTGACCCTGTCTTATGATTGAGTAACATTTTCTAGTTATAGTATAGCTCATATAGATATTTCCTAAATATATAATTACTATATGGATATTTAGTTAAAAAAAAAAAGATGTTATCATTTCATAAGTAACCAACTCAGAAGTGCTTGAAGTTGATTGAATTTTTGGTTAATTAAGTTTGTTGTTAAAGAGACTCTACTTGTGTCCAGAATTGTTTCATACTGACAAATATTGAAGACAGTATTGAGATGTGTGTTATGTCAAGTGTTGAACAGAGAATTGGCTAGATTCACCTATTAATAAAGCATGCCAGTAGGCTTAGATGTCTTAAAAGAGAAATTTTATATTGCCTTGGGAAAATTTTCAAACAGTAAACACTGATTCTATAATAGTTTTATTGTTAATAGATATAACTACACATATTAAGCATGTATTATATAACCACATTTTTTGTGTGAATCATATTTGTTAAGATTGTTAGTTATTTAGAAGGTCTTTGAAAAAGTTATCTGGTAGGTCTTTTACTTTTTATCTATAATCTATGGATACTCTTTTTTTCTGCTGATATGATTCACTAGTACTCAAAGTCTGTAGGCTGTGGAACTGTTAAGATTAACGATATTAACTGCATGCAAAATATATGATTGATAAGTACTAACACTCAGTTTTTATCATTCTTTTTATTCCATGCGCCATCTTTCATTCTTTTCCTATATTGTATCTTTGAAATTAAATCCCATGATACGAAATTCACTTCATTTCCATACAACCCTTATGCCATTTGTGAAATGCTGCTGCCCCTTTGGTTTTTCCTGGTCCTTGTGCAACTATACGTGGACTGGTTCTCTCGCTGTGCCGCAGACCCAGCCCTCACTCTTCCTCCTATCTCCTTCAACACACTTACACAGGCACAAACATGGGACAGCTCTAGCTACAGTGTTCCATCTGAAGGAGACAGTGACAATGGTAGGTGGCTTTGAATCTTTTCTTCAATGTGCTTATTAATAAGCCAGTTAATATATTCATTTCTGTGCAGCTGACGATGGGGCTATATTCACTTGCATGCCTGATACACGAAGTCACGAGCAGACTGGGGAGGGAAGTCCAGAAAAGTGCATGTGTGTTGTTCTCTAGCAGTTTGTCAAACACCTTTTCATTATTTTGAATATTCTGAGTTTGGGGAGAGCTTTACAATAATTGCTTCTCTGTTTTCTGCTCGAGTTTTTTGGCTTGTTTGCTTGTTTACGAGAATCTAGGGTTTGCACATTTGAATTATCGCTGCTTGCTCCTGCATCTGAACTAAATGCTGTGAGAGTTTGAGCCTTCGTTGTCTATGCTTACCGTGTGAGATTTTCAAGGCAGTTACCATGTGCCCTGGCTGATCCTAGAGTGATATGCTAAAGTAATGTTTACATTGAGAAAATTCTAAAAAGGAAGAAAATTACTTGCCTTCTTTTTTGTTTTTGTTTTTTGCAAATTACTTTTCACATTTTGACTTGTAATACCTTCTACCTTTTGATATAAGTTCCTCTGTATAATATCAAGAATGTAATTTGTCCTGAGATTCAAATGTACAAATGAAAATCAAGGACATCTAGTTGGTATATCTTTTCATGTCATTAAGTATTTTAAATAGCTTAAGAGATGAAAATAAAATACATAGAATTATTTAGAGCTACATACCACATAGTTGAGTCTCTATTCTACTTTAGTTCAGATTTTAAACGTTTTACTTGAGATACAGTGATAAATGTGAGTTAAGTGAAATGGAGAGTGTGATTCACAGGGAACAGCAGTGAGATGGATGAGAGATATCACCACCGTGCAAACACAGCAGGAAGGTGTGTTTCCCAATAACACTTTTCAATTATTTTTAATTTTTTAAAATTGATTTTAGAGAGAGGGAGAAACCTTGATATTTGCCTCCCATACACACCCCTACTGAGGATCGAACCTAGAACCTGGATATGTGCCCTGACTGGAAATCAAACCTCTCACCTTTTGGTGTACAGGTTGACACTCCAATCACTGAGCCATACCGGCCAAGGCAGTAAGACTTTTTAAAAAATATAAGTGTGTTATATATACAATACATAGAGAATATGTCTTTAAAATACTTGCTGTGATTTCTGGTCAAAATTCAACCATAACTGCTTTTCCAATTTTCTTATGTGGAAGGATGTGTATATCTTGGCAGGTTAATTATAAAAATAATTTTATTATTTCATATATTTCAAAGTTTTTAAACTGAAAAAAGTATGACTGAATAACTAAAATACAAAAGTCTCACCTAATATGATTCTGTTTTAAATCCTGGAAGTTAAGGAGGCTTAATGGGAACTTTCTTGAAAACTGTTCCTTTACTTTAAAAAAAAAGTGGGAGGGGGCATTTTTGTTTTCAGAAAACATGGCTATTTGCAGGTCTGATGTTGTTTAAAGGAGATAAAGCCTAGAATGAAAGATTTATGTGTGATTTGGTATTATTTCCTTAAGAGTATTATCTGAAACCAAAAGGACTTTTTGTTGTTGTTGTTGCTTTTAAGCTGGAAAAGGTCTAGACGTCTTATGTAACAGCAGAATGTCTCTCATTATGAGCCAACTAGAACCAGAAAGGTGAGGTGACCTGTCTAGTCACGTTGCTAGGCAGAGATGGAGGTGGGGCTGTGCCCTGGACTCCTAACTGTCTACTGTATTTACATTCATTCTACAGCTGTTTATTGAGTACTCCTTGTGCATATTACTAAGGCAGACTGCCTCCTTTTTCATTAATAATCCTAAGAATTTATAGAAAATAATCATGTGGAAATCTTTCAGAAAATAAAATAATCTTGCAGTACTTCCATGGTATTTTTTTGTATAAATGAAAATTTCAGCTGCAGTGGTACATATACACAATGGAGTACTATGCAGCTGAAATTTTCACTTACACAAAAAATACCATGGAAGTATTGCAAGGTTATTTTATTTTCTGAAAGATTTCCACATGATTATTGTCTATGAATTCCTAGGATTGTTAATTATCCTTTGAGACGACATGGAGGGACCTAGAGAGTATTATCCTAAGTGAAACAAGTCAAGCAGAGAAAGACAAATATGACATGATCTCACTCATTTGTGGAATATAATGAACATAACAGTCTGAGGAACAGGGTAGACCCAGAGACATAGAAGTAGGGTACAGACTGACAACCCTCAGAAGAAGGGGTGGGTAGGGGAGGAAAGAGATAAACCACAGAACTTATATGCATGTACGCATAACTAATAAACATGGACAACAAAGCTGAGGACAGGGTAGTGGGGGAAGGGAAGGAGAGTATCAGTGGGGAAAAAAGAAATATCTGTAACCAAAAAAAAAAAAAAAACTTTTCAGGGACTCACATGCAACTATTATGCTTACCACAGTAATTATAAACAGATCATTTTCAATGTTTATATGACTCTGTCATTTATGTCAGGTATTTGGTGGCTGTCATTTATGCCTTTGTGCAGTTTATCTATAAAATATGCACTGGGCAACACATACTTTTCTCTGCAGAAATCTTCTTTATAAATGTTTGTCCCAGATCTGATCTTTGTATGCATCTTTGTTCTCTTTGTGCCAAACTTTGCCTTCTGATATAAATACGTTTTCCAATACATTTTTAGAATGAATGAAGTGGCATTTGTTATATGCATTCACAAGTGTATAAACTAATGTTGCAAGAAGAATACAGCCTACTTTTTATGTTGGTCTTCTGGTTCCTCTTAAGTAGGAGATACTTTTCAGTGACCTCTCTTTGCATTTCAAAGCTGATTATCATGAGCTTTGTTTCCTCGTATTTTCTCCTTTATCCAATATCTACAGCTATCTCAACCTTTGCAAGTAAACGGTATCTTATTACCAATTCAACCTAGGATATTGTTGGTAAAGTTAGCATTTTTGTACCTTGTTCACTGTGTGGCTTTGTATTAAAATCCCTCTTTTATTTAAATTTCAATGTTGAAGTAAAATTTAAAGTTTACTTAAAGCAATAAGGTAAGGTAAGGCCTTGCCTTCTGCAGTCATGTTTCTCTCACATTCCACTTCCCGCCCCATCGGTCCTGCATCCAAATGCCAGATAGCCCAGCGGGCCCATAAGAAACAACCATCAGAGATTGAAGAAAGTCAGCGAGCTCGAACACTGGCGTCCAGCATGGAACTGTCCTCGGAGACCACCAGAAGTGTGCCAACCGAAGTCTGGGGGAGCTCCCTTCTGGCTGAGGGGGGAGCCCCATGTTCCCAGCTGGGAGCAACCCAGAATCCCAAGCCTCCAGCCCCTACCACAGCCAGCACCAATTTTGGCTTTAGCCAATTAGGAAGAGGAAGGAGAGGGCAGAGAGCATGAAGAGGGAGGGGAGCGGAGCTGGAGGGGCCCAAATCCAGCACTGCACTGACGTACAGAAACTTTACTCATTGGCCACGGAAACGTGGCCAGGCAGTGCTGGAGTGGAAATTGCAGGGCTCTGAGGACACCACAGCTCTCCACGCCCCTGCCCCAAGCCTGACCCACTGCATCGGTCACTAAGTTACATGGGATTGAATCCGATATACAGAGGAGAGAGGGTAATTTTGAAGAACTTGGATGGCAGCTGCTTGAAACTATCCAAAGCGAAGTGTCTATATTCTTTCCTCTAAGGTTGAAAATCCAGAAAATATAGATAATAATTATAAAAGAAAAGAGCAGAGATTCCAAAATGAGAGTGGAGTGAATGGAAGTTACACAGATCATCTCCCAGGACCAAACTGGAATTACAACTAAAATAAAGACAAATCATGAGCAACAGAAAAGCTGCCTGTGAGGACCATATAACCAGGAACACTGAATTGATTCTGGTAGGACTGTGGAAGCACAAGAGGGGCCTGGGAGCCCACGGACACAGCAGTGGTCTTCGCTGTGAGGAGCACCCTCGGGGTTCAAGTCCCAGGCCGACAGCACAGTGCAGAGGGCCGGGATAGACCACTAAATTAGCTATAGCCACTCAACTTGGGCTCCTGCGGAGGGAGGGCGGACTGGACTGGAACTGTGTGGGGACACTCGGGATTTGGAGGGTGCTCAGAGCTTTTACTGAGTTGCAGCCACACAGGATGGTAGACAGCTTGATCCTTCCCAGGGCTCTGGGGAGAGGCTGTGGACCCTCTCTCAGAGATTCAACCCCCTCTCAGCTGGGCCAAAGAAATGTAAATGGAGGCTTATTAACAACCAGCATCTGCCCCACCCTCGGGAAATCCACTTACACTAAACACCTTGAGGGAGTTTTTCATTCAACTGAAAACCCATGGCTCCTCAAGTAACCAAGACTAATAGCCTCCAGGCAAAAAGCTAGAGGATAACTGAACCATTCCTGGACTTGCAGATCTACCCAGGAAAGGAAGACTTGACAGTGGTGTTAGGTGTGGGTCCTCGCACACTCATCCAAACCCAGTAGAAGCAGTCACAAACAGCAGAACACCAACACCCACAGGGAAAATTTGACAGGATCCAAAACCCACTGAGATAGTCAAAATGGTGAAACAAAGAAGCAAATCCCAAATGAAAGAACAAGAGACCTCTACCAAAGATGAGATAAATGAGGTGCAGTTAAGCAAGTTAACAGAGCTCGAGTTCAAAGCCATGATCTTTAGGAAGCACAACAGCATGAGTAAGGACCTCAACATCATGAGTAAAGATATAGAATCATTGAAAACCAACCAAGTGGAAATGAAGAATGACATAGCAGAAATAAAGAACACATTGGAAGGACTAAACAGCAGAGTAGAGGAAGCTGAGGACTGGATCAGTGAATTAGAAGACAGGGTAGAAAAAAATCAACCAATCAGTAAACCAAAAGGAAAAAACAATTTAAAAAAACAACAACAGGAAAACAGCTTAAGAAAACTGTGGGACATCTTAAGAGAACTGTGGGACAACTGAAAACATAATAATATTCACATTATAGGAGTCCCCGAA